GTTGGAGTTGAGAAAAAAACAGAGTTACACCTTATTTCATATCTCTGCTATATGAATTACCAACCCCGTTTTCTTTGGAGATCTATTTAAGAGAGCTAACAACTTTATAGATTTTAATTTGGTATAAATAGCTGCGAGATGTGCCATAAAATGTGTTTTAGGGTGAGTTGTTTGGTTACTAGTAACTGCTCAATCAACTCATTATTGCTTATCTGAATGGGAATAAAATAGTTTAGCGAAGGACGAACAAAATTTATATCCTTCATTCCTAGGAAGGCGGTGTAAAACACTAAGTCACTACAAGCCATTTGGTGAAGATCTCAATCAGTGATATGGCAATTAATGTTACGATTTCGACAAAAGCACTATATATTTTCCCTCAAATAAACATGCATAATTCATACTTACACGATCTAATTTGGTAAAGCTTACTCATGTACAGGTTAATTACTGTTTTCAGCTATAGAGATATACACATTAAGAGATTATGACATTTCAGAAAATATATTGCGTACATTATGTTTTTCCTAGTTGTTGCTAAATAACCTGGGAACATATTTATTCGCTTAAGAATGTAGCACTTGTCAGTATGCTTTCAAATGGATAGCCCATCCCTTAGATAAATCATGATAGGAGAGCGTAGTTAATCTCGAATGCATACACTTTAGTTTCCTCCACCGACAATAGCATAAACACGATGTGACGGAAAATAACTAATTTCACTCTAATACAACGGTTCTTCTGATCTGTTCACTTGTCAAATGATTTTATCAAAGAATACATCTTTTGTTAACAGCAGAGTATTAAGTGGTCCTAGAATAGAGGCTATTTTATGAAGAAGCAATTATTTTGCCAAACAAATTAAGTGTATCAACTTTAACTACTTATAAGTAGCAGAATTTATGGTCAACTTTTTATAACCACTTAGTGGAAATTTAGCAGTGTTACAAAAATCACACTAGTTCATATACACACCTACTTTGAGTAGAATTTCTCATCAACTTAGTTGGAGATCATACACTGTTACAGAAATTGCTGATTAATTTATATTCTTCTATTCTGTTGTCTAACAAACCATCGATAACTGTGTACTACGAAGGAGAATTTATTAAGACGAATATCTTTTGCTCAATCCTACGTATGCTTCATATAAAAGGATTCCCCTATAAGGCTTGATGTAACTTTTCATAAGTTTTATCAATTCTAGTATGAGGTTAGCAAAACTGTGGGGAGAATACAGTCAAAGGCATATTATATCAAAGTAACTGTCTAACAAATGGAATACATCACTGAACAACATTAGGTTAGAAACAGTCAAGGTGATCTGTAGATTTTGCTACCCAAACCACAGTTGTCTAAGCAATGGACAACCGTTTCACTTATTTGGTGTCAAGTTTATCGGAGACGTATATCAACAAATTCAACTCACACAGCCTAATGTCTCAGACTAACTGAATCTCGCTAGCCAACATGAATGGATTGAGATACCTTTGTTAGGATGATCGGTTTGCAAACTATCTACAAGGTTTACGGTTCATGTTGACGTTTCTCACAGCTGAGTAGCTTTTTAACTGCCAAAGTATGTTGTCAATGGAGTTTCCGTGGGAAACCACCCAGCAATATATCACAAGATGTGATCTCTGAGTGTCATGAACTAATGAAATATGCTACCGAACAAGATGTTTGCTTAGAAATGACTGGTCAAGAACTGTGCAACTTGTGAATAATTTGAAAATTAACCATCCTATTTAAGTGTATAATCAATTCCAAATTCTATGGTGAAAATTATTAGTGTCGGTTTTACTTGTCAAGATCGCTACATAGATGCAACGGAGAGTGACAATTCGGTTTGTTAACCTTTACGGAATGAACGTTACTATGAATATTTTCAGAATACATCTCTTTTGAATTGCGCTTCAGTTTCTGGTCATATGCACTTTAATTCTGGTTTCCCCTTAACTAAACACAAACGACAAGCAGCAGGCTTTTGAACAGCCTATAAAGTATGTCTATGTTATTTTAGTGTTAGCACATAGACACAGATTACCGTTACTGATTACATTATATACTTTGAAGACAATTCAAATTCCAGATTTATGTATCACATGAATGTATCTGTATTGATCAAGAGAAGTGTAACCAATACATTCACAAATTAACTAATAAATAAGACCTGAAACAATATGATGCATTTATTTCATAAAAATAAATTATCTTGGATGGGTTCATCGAAACAAACAACCTGGATATGTAAATTTATACGGAAGACTTTATGGTTAGCTTAAATATGCGAATAAAAAGCAACAAACTGAACGAAGAATATTCTTTCCAGTAAATTCTTATTAGGTTCTACAATCATAAAATGCACTTGTACAGCGTAAAATCATGCCAAGTCAGGGACAATCACATTCTCAAAAAGGAGTGAGGTTTAGCAACTGTGAGGAAACCGATTTCTCTTATGTAAACTTGTCAATATTGAGACGACACATATACACAGACGAGTGATATGACAGTGAATGAAAAGACAAGGAATAAATAAAACAGGAGTGACCCTTAGTTTATTGAAGATCAGGTGAGAAGTAACAGTCGAATATGATCATTCTGAATGCAAAGTTTAGGTTTGATCGACCTTATGGTGGCAGACTCAGCTATGTTGAGCAGGCGTTCTCGAGTATCGCATTGTATTGTTTTGGAGATCCGATGTACGCCATTAAAAGGTTCGACAATAAATAATCTCTACAGACAAATTGACGGAGTGGCCATGGAATCTCCACTGGGTTCAATATTTGCAGACATGTTTCTGGCAAAATTGAAAGATCAAATTGCCAATATGGAGTTCCACTGTCGATATATAGATGATACTTTTCTGGTCTTTGATAAACGCCTATACTTTAATTCTATTCTGAAGCATCTCAACAGCACTTATCCACCAGCTCACTTTACATATGAAAATAAAATCAATGATTTGATATATTTTCTTGATGACAGAAAAAAATGGCTTTATACTGAGAAGTAAGTGCAGAAAAGCGACGTCTAAGACACGGCATACATAGTTTTCTCAGCTTCGTGCCGATGAAGTGCAAACATAATATAACCAAGTGTCTGGCATTCACAATAGGGTCGACTTATTCCGAGGAGTGCGTGAAAGAACTACTTTGTATTCATGATATTCCAAATGAAAATGGATATCCGGATAAGTTCATCAAGGGTAACATAAATTACATTGGTCCTAAATGAGAATCGATGACAGTGGAGAAGTCTTTGTTTACGGTTTTGCAATTCAAGTGAGACGCTCCAAGTGAAATCGTATCACAACGCCTAGCTAGAGCAGTCAATAAGACGTTTTATGCAGGTTGGCTATACATATCTTTTTGTAGTCGGTCAGTACTCGATCCTGAACTAAAGGATAGCCCACTTAATTTTAGCCCTCCATCTTGTATATATTAATCCAACCGTTGCTGTAAAACAATTTATATAGGACGTACAATTGGATAGGTGCGTCTCGGGACACGAGAGCACCAACTGGCTTGGTTCGAAAAGGGTGAAGTGGAAGTAGCGAAGAATTTTAGCCTAGCGCACGTAGTAGATGCGGGGCATCATGTAGATGCTAACAAAGCTTTCAATGTCATAAATCCTATTCCAAAAACAACACCACGCGATACTCAAGAACGCCTGCTCAACATAGCTGAGTCTGCCACCATAAGGTCGATCAAACCTAAACTTTGCATTCAGAATGATCATATTCGACTGTTACTTCTCACCTGATCTTCAATAAACTAAGGGTCACTCCTGTTTTATTTATTCCTTGTCTTTTCATTCACTGTCATATCACTCGTCTGTGTATATGTGTCGTCTCAATATTGACAAGTTTACATAAGAGAAATCGGTTTCCTCACAGTTGCTAAACCTCACTCCTTTTTGAGAATGTGATTGTCCCTGACTTGGCATGATTTTACGCTGTACAAGTGCATTTTATGATTGTAGAACCTAATAAGAATTTACTGGAAAGAATATTCTTCGTCCAGTTTGTTGCTTTCTATCGATGTTATAGGAGTCTTTAGTTATTTGAGGTCTTAAACATGTTAGGTTGGAATTTTGAACACCTTTCTAAAGTTATTAGATACTAGTTCAAATTATGCTTAAATGTTTAACTATCGCGGTAGGTTATCGACTTAGTAAGAGGATAATTTGAAGTCGAACTCAGCGATTCACTGAACATACATGCGTGACAGGCACCTGAAAATTGAATATGTTATGAATTCACACTAACTCATTCCCAATGAGTTATATTTTTTTCTGAGTTTTTATTACTATTTTGACATGACGTTTAGTAAAGGGATAACTCTAGTGGGTCCATTATCGTATCATGTTCTTCTATATTGCTTCTAATGCACTTAGAAGTTAGTAGATGAATAAAAAAATAGTTGAATCTGGGCGAATCCTATGTTAGTCAGAAACTGCATCATCACTTTAATAATTCCTTTATAACTATCAATTTCATACAATAATGATTACAAGAGAAACAAGTTGGTATTCATCATGGACTGGTATCAGTTGGAGAAACATTGGAGACCTGGGAGCACTGGAGAGCTGTTTTGTCCGGGTATGAGACTCCTCAGCAGTGCGCACCCATGACGCTGCCCGCCAGGGATCAAACCCAAAGCCTTCAGGCTCCGTGGTCAGCACGTTACCAATGAGCCATTGAGTCGAAAATCGATGGTCCATATTTCCTACTTCTGTCAATTCCCGACATAGGGCGCGATCATTACGCAATGTCATCGTTGAGTATTTGTCCTCATGTCCACTAGGTTTGCCTCCCAGGTCACGACTTCTTATTGAAACTTCAGGAATCACCTCTCGAAGCTAGTCACTGGTGAGTACTAGATTAATCCAATTGAATACAAGAGAATCATTACGCTATTCACTTTACATATTGGTAATGATAACAATAGTAATAATTGGCCGACAAATCCGCAACAAAAAAGATAACAAAGATTTACTTGGAGATTTTTTTCAAGTTGCGGTAACTAATTTTTCCAGAATCATCTTCATCGAACAGTTTAAAGGCGCGAACCATTTCTGTGACAGGATCTCTATCCAAAATCATATCTGTAACTAAAATTAGAAGAAAAGATACAGACGAACTATGTACGGGAGGGGAAAGTTATTTTATCAGCAGACATTTACAAAATCATCCGGTCAAACACCAATGGGGTCACTATCCACTTATGTGAGAATCAAGGTTATCAGGATGCAGAGGATATTATTACAAAATAGCGTCGATAAATCGTTTACGCCAAAAAATGCCGACAAGCACGAAATGGTCTTCCATAGGTTGACTCCAAACTTATAACCTATCAAATTTGAAATTTAATCAACACGTTTGTTAAGAATTCCATCAGAATTACCTTTATTTCTCAAAGATCTAAACGTGATAACAGACAATTATGGAGCTGCTTCAATAAAGAATGATTCGCTTAAAAGTGACGGCATATTACAAGAGAAATTGGATTTCCAAAGCAAACAATGTCAGCAGGATAAATGATATACGAATAAATCAATAAGAAAAAGAGGCCAAGGTATCCTCATGCCAAGTAGCACCCATACATATGATGTCCTTAACTCGTTTCTCAACATGTTTCCAACACAGGCTATTACGAACTGAGTACTCAGAACCTATAGATAGTCCCAATTAACTTAGAACTACCCCTGAAGCATTGTAATTTGAAAAAAGCATTTCTAAGGTAGTAACAGAGAGAAGAATATAATTAACTTAAACACTTGGACAGAAGTGCAGAGGTTCAGTTTGCCACATTTCACAGTACCATTCAAAGAAAGAGTGGATGAAAAAACTGATATCTAAGCAGACGAATGTGTATGGGAGGAGTTTAAAAATAAAGGTTAGTGAAAACATTCAAGCTTTGGGAAACGTCCAGGGGTGAATACATCTGCGCTATGGCAACTTCTGCTAGCATTGCATGCCGAGGTAGGTGGTGGCTCGACAGGTATAATGCATGTCCAGGCTATACCTCAGCCGCTGAAGGTTCACAACCTCATCGACCGGGTTACCTATCTTGCCTACCTATTACACGACTAGTATACTGCGTTGCAGTCCGTTATGTTTTGTCATACGGCTGTAAGACATGGCCGTTGAAAGTAGAATATTTGAAAAGACTACAAGTCTCTGACCACAGGTATCTTCGCAGTATTGATCATGTATGCTGGGATTCCTACGTAAGTTATGTACAGGTTAAGTGAAGGGTACTGGAAGAAACAGGCAAGTCGATCGATGAAGTTGTGAATCTTCAGAGGTTGAGGTATAGCCTAGACATGGATTGCACATGCTGAGCCACCACCTACCTCGACATGTAATGCTAGCAGAAGTTGGATTTGGTTTGAAGAATGCTCAGGATAACCAGACTAAGACGTAGTACCAGTCTATTAGTTCTTTGACTGGTAGTCTGAGACGTATGGGGAGATGGGGGGTACCTGGATGAGGTTCCTGAGACAGTAGGAACCAATGGTTGGAAACCATCGGTGATACAGTTGAAAATCCGTCGCCATGAAGCAGATGTATTCACGCCTGGACATTTTCAAAGCCTTGAATTTTTTCACTAACTTTTACTTTTGAATTCCTTCTCCCATACACATTTGTCTGCTTAGATATTAGTTTTTTTCCATCCACTCGTTCTTTGAATGGTACTGTGAAGTGTGGCGAATTGAACCTCTACACTTCTGTGCGAGGTTCTACGCTGATTTTGTCTGACTCTGGTGCAAATCCCCAAATAGGTGAACAATTCAACGCATCCTATTGCTTCACTGCCAATCCTTTAACTGCGAGTAGTTTTAGATTACTCCTAAAGCCTCATATTACATTTGACAGGTACGAAACGCATGGCAAATATACTCAGATTTCTGCTCAAGGCGTTAGGAAGACCATGAACTTTCTCAGCGTCTTCACCTAGCAGGACAATGTCTTCTGAGTATTCCAAATGAACCATGTAAGTCGATCGAAGAAAATCGAAATGTGCTCAGCAACCACGTACACATTCGTGGAGTAGACAATGAGCCATATCTATTGTGTGGGGGCTAATGATACTACCTGGCTGTACAAACCTTAGAAAGTGGAACGGTGTTCGAACCCGTGACCCACTGGTTGAAAGTCACCTCCATAAGCCAATGGGACACATCTCTATAACCTGTTGATAGGTGAAGATTTGATCGAGGAGCTGACGTCCTGCTTGATTTTCTGGAGCTCCACTTAAGCGGCGGATAACTATGAACCCAAGGATCTTAGACACAATACTAGTTAAGCTGATTACCCTACTAATAAGACTTCTTTGATACGGACTGCAAGGATCACTGAAGTAGATGATCCCGGTGCCACTACTTCTGATTCACATACGCCACCTTGTACCTACGTTATTCTGCTCATTAGTTTCCTACCGCCATCCTTAAACGCTTCTACTATTTACATTGCCTCAGGTTGAGAACCACCTTCTCAGCTAAAAGGGCAGCTGGGGGACAGACATTTATGCCCCATTCAGGTTCCTGTTGGATGCAGGGAACTGGAGAACTAACTGACTGACAAAACCAACGTAGACACTCGCACATAGGTGCATCAAATCAAGTTGCTATATCTCGCGGTAGTACATGAGCACCAGATGGATAGAAAAAGTGATATCAACGTGGAAAAAGTTGTGTGAGAGAAAAACAATTTGAAGGTTGAGATTAGTGAGGTTCTGGTGTTTTGGATCATTTCAGGTTCGATACAACTTTCTTAACTTCGAGGGGAGTTGGAGGACCAATATTTACGAGCCATTCAGGTTCAGGCTGCATATTCAACAGGTGAAGGGTTGCTGAGGGCCAGTTGAGATGTACTTCAGTGTTTCCCCCAACGTTCTAGCCATTTATCCTGAAAGGTTATCAGCGTCCCATCCTTTGCTGTGACGGTTTCACGAACGATCATTTTCTCGCAAGCGTCCTTAATAAGCCTAAATAATTGTCGGGTATTATCTAATGCTAATACCTTCACCGCCTCTCTAGCTTTATAAGGTATTAAAATATTCTTTAAAGCTTCAAACGATGATGACTATGTAAAGACTTAAGAAATTTATGAACAGTGAGACCCTGGCGGGAACATACACTAAATGCCTCAATTAGATACCTAGTGCATTCAACTTTGTGGAAATAGGAATAATGACTTCCAGCTCATAAAAGATAATGTACTCCAATATATCTTGCTAAAAAACTTTCATGACTATGTACACTGAGAAACTGTGTCCTCAGTTAACAGAGACAAAATACTCTCATGAGAAAAGCATGACCGCTCCTCAATGCCTATCACTTGAAATAACGATAAGATTATATGAACCAGTAGATGAGTAAGCGGACAGTGGTATCAATAAGCAGTGAACTGTTAAAGGATGGTAGATATCGCAGCGTGAAGTTATTCTGTTGAATTTAGTTAAACATGTCAGTGGTAAGGTACCTGTTACACACAATTCATAATTATACTCTCACAAATCCGAAGATAGTTTGAAATATATACTGTACTTTTCCACGTGGCACACCATAACCGAGGAATACGGTTTAAGAGTTTTAAAAACTTCCATAATGTAAATTAGAACAAGGAATATAAACGAACAATATTGTTTTCACTTAGATCCACTTCAGGCTTTACTCTAACAAAGATATATATATATATATATAAATTAAACCAATCATGTAGATTTGTCGGTTAGTGTGATAGACGTTTTAAAATAACGGTGATAATAATACAAATAATAATAATGATAACGTTGACTAAAGCACATGCAATATAGATGATAATGATGATAAGAAACAAGAAGGCAGCATGAGAATGTAGGCACTTCGATGACAAAAGTGGGTCAAAAGCTTGGGAGAATAAAAGTTACATAATACTGAAGGGTGAGGTAAGTGGATAAACAAAGTACAAACAAATACAGTAAATATATGAAAGGAGTAGGAAGAAATTTCAATGACAAGGTTATCAATCAAGTATTCCCTGGGCAAGGGAGAGACAAGGGATATACAAACCTCTTCTGGATACAAAGACTAGGATTATTAGCTCGAATCCCCACAGCTTCTGCTATGTGTAAGAGACAAGTTACAATACCTTTCGAAAAATGAGATGGTATGTGGTGACTAATCGTGAAAGCATTGTTCTTGTCTGCCGAGTGACCGCTATCAACGAGGTGAGATAAAACCGAGCTGCTGATGGATTTCATCTATCCTTTTCCTAACCATGAAGGTAGATAATCAGCAACACATTTGTTAAGTTGTCTAGTAGTACACTCTATACAGCTTTCTCCACAGGAGCAACAAACTTGTAAACAGACATAGGAATGGCAAAACTAGATGCCTTATCTATTTGTACTAGGTGATGATTGAAGGTGGTCGCTGGTTCGAATCCGGCCGCGGTCCAGATTTTTATCTCACCTTCAATCACCACCTAGTACAAATACTAGTCTGCCAAACTACGGCTCAGATAGTCAAGTCATAGCCTTGTCTATTGCCTGAGCAGCAACCATTGGTCGACTGAAAAATGGCAGACTTTTTGATGTTCTAATAAAGAAAAATTCCGGTTAGAAATTCAGATGATAATTTCAGGTTCTCTTTGCCTGAGTAAGTAACCGAAAATTGATGAATTTCCTGAACTAAAAGTTGTCGGGTCAAGAAATAGTACCAGTTCATGAATTCTCTGATTGGAGGTCTTAGGTATGTAGGAAAAGGTAGGTTGTCTGGTTGCAGCCGTCGATGAGATACCAATCAATGGTTGGGGACTCTTAGTGGTACGACTCGAAATCGAATACAACAGTGCGGGTGCATAGACTCTCTATCATCTTATAAATTTTAAACTTTTTATAAACGTTCATTTACTTATCCCTTTTTCCTTCTCGTGTACTTTTTTCTAATTTAATACTGTTCTTTTAATATTCACTTCCTATTTGTATGTTGTTATGAATTATGAAAACTTGAACAGACTCACCTCTGTTCGTGGTTCTACGCTGATTTGTCCCTTTAAATATTCTTCAAGGTGTTATCACCGTTCAGCAGATATACGTTAATACAATACTGTAGTTGGCGTTCTCTTCGAAATAACTCTTATGTCAGGGACTTTTAAAAGACAGATTCTCTGCTGGCTAGTGACTGTTTCTCTCTCTCTCTCTCTCTCTCTCTCTCTCTCTCTCTCTCTCTCTCTAATACTTCTACTATATATCTCCAGAAAAACACAAAGGAAATTAGAGGTACGACATTATTCATTAACTAGTGTTTGTATCCACCTAATAAGGTAATCTAACAAGACATGTTAAGATCCATCTAATAACTTCACTAAAGTATATGTCTTAAAAATGTACTGAATAACAACAGATGGATTAAACTGCGTGTAATTAGTGACTTGTATTACCAATGAATGACTTCCCGTTGAAAAAAGATGATTAAGACGCAGTAGGCAGAACCAATGGTTGTCCTGTGGACACACCTAGCAATAGGTAATTACCGAAGAATCGTAAAGTATTGTTATGATGAGAAGACTACGAAAGTTCTTAAATATCACTGTATGCAGCGTGATAAAATTATCCGAGAAAAATCAAATGAACCTATGTAGTCATTAGTCGAAGACACAGTATTACAAATCAATACTACTAATGGTGGTAAAGTTGTATTCGTTGTTTCTTTCGCTACAAATAGCAAGTTTTTACTTCGTCGTACTACTGTCTGATTATTGCTGAATTATTATTCTTTCAGTCGTTATCAGTTTCCAGCTTACAGAAAGCTGACAACAACTCTAAAGAAATGCTAATTTTTCTCTTAAAAACATGATTTAATCATAATTATTGATACTACTTGTACTTCGAACGCTATTTGAACCGAAGGGATTGGTCTTTCTTGATTAGAGAAATGGGATCCTATGCGGATGCTTTGATACTGCTTGAAGATTATTTATGGTGTAATTTGACTGGTGGTGGCTAACAGTGAGATCCACGCAACACGTCTCATCCTATTTGGGACTTTTCAGTTAAATGTATTCGCCTCTTAGTGAATGATGTTGTTTCCAATAGGACTGGAATGTGGCACCCGTCTCCCCAGACGTCAGACCATTATCCATCTGACTATTACGATTCAGTAGCTGGATGGATAACGCTTTGACTTTTGAAGCAATGGTCTCTGAGTTCCAGTCTCAGTGAGAACAACATTCACTGGGAGACAGGTGCAATCAAACGACGAGATCAAAATGGGACGAAATGCATGTCGTGGACGCCACACCTAGCCACCACAAATCAAACTGTATGGTCTAATTTTCTTTCAAGGTGATAAGTACTTAACAAAAGCTGAAAGATTGCCTTTAGAAACTACAGCGACCTCACTATTATGAAGAATGTATTTATTTACGAACAAAATGTAAAAAACGAAAGTTCCTTAAGAGACTGAAAAAGTTTGAATCTAAAGAATTGGGATTCACTTAGCAACACCTTGTGCACACTCGTGTAGTAGGTAAGGAGCCACATACATTTTGTGTAAGGACTAATGATACTACCTGGCTGCTTAAACCTCAGTAGGTTGAGTGATGTTTGAACGCGTGACCCACTGGTAGAAAGTCAACCGCCTAATCTGATCAAAAAATCATTTAAAATTTCCTCCAAATCAACGGAACAATGATTTTCATAATTTTATAGTTAGGCAGTCTATTAAAAAATTCGTACCTATCTCATTAAAATCTTCAAATCGCAGTTTCCCAGAATCTTCTTTAATGTTATAGTCTTCCAAAGTCTTTAACACTTCTTGTTTTTTCAATTCAAATCCAAGTGCTCGGAGTGCAACCTGTATTCATTATTAATATTAACAATTAAAAGTTTATATCTACCTTAAATTCATAATAACTGATTTGTTGATCTTTGTCTGTATCGAAAAGATCGAAAGCTTCAACGATTTCCTGTTTTTGTTCTGGAGTAAGTTCCCTTCTTTTACGACGACGGATGTTGTCTGTAAGTCCTGCAGAATAAAATTACCGGACATAAATCAAATACACAAAACGCCTTATTCATAATGAATGAAATTGTGTGAATCCTATAGTTTAGGGAAGAGACTCTTTTTAATGAATTCATTTTTAAGGATTTTAATGCTTTAGACAAGATGATATTTTCACTAGACGTTACTTCATTGTTCACGAGTGTGCCACTTACCGAGACTGTCTGTTATATATGCAACTATATTGATGCACATAATTTAGATGTAGGACTACCAACCAACTGCTTGAAAGAGCTTTTGTTGAGGTGCGCACTTAATGTCCAATTTAGTTTCAATAATGAATTCTATAGACAGAAAGATGGAATTGTGATGAGGTTACTATTTGGACCATTTATTAGCAGACTTTTTCATGTCGTAACTAGAGAATTCTCAACTTTGTCAAACCATTAATAGCTTTGACTTTAATAGAAGATATATGGACGACACGTTTGTCATTTGTGACAAAAATGTTGATCTAGACGGTGTTCTTCGTTCATTCAGTGAATGTCATCAAGCCCTCAAGTCTACCATAGAGAAGGAACCAGAACCAACTATTCCTTTTCTCGATGTGCTTCTCACTCGACGTAAGAATGGATAGCTTAAAAGATCCATCTAGAGACAAGCAACGCGGAATGGACAACTGACTAATTTTCATAGTTGGGTGCCTGTCAACAGAAAAAGAAATCTTATTCACTCTCTCTCTGCTATTGAATAAGAAATATCTGTAGTGAAGATTGTATTGATGAAGAGCTAACGTTATTAAAAAGCACACTTGTCGAAAACGGTTGTCCTAGCCACTTTATTGATAAGAATATGCTAGGAAGAAATACTAAACCAGTCATCGACTCAGTCTCAAAGAAAAGATTGTTCATGAGCATAGAATTTAAAGGTGACCTAGCATTAGATGTACTAAAGAATCGTCTATGCAGACCAATCAATAGAACTTTCTTCGCAGGAAGACTTCAGTTGACTTTTACCAGCCGTAAGCTATTCTCCGTTCGTGGTAAAGATAAGCTTCCTCGTTTGGCCGCCTCTATATGCGTCTACCAGTTCACATGCTCTTGTGGTGCAAGTTACACTGGCCATAGCCAGAGAATGCTTTCTACACGTATACGAGAACATGTTCCTGCTTGGTTTTATAAAGGTGAAAGAAAGTCTGTTAGAAGTTCGATTCTAGAACATTTGATTGATTTACATCACTCAACAAACCCAGACAATGAATTCAAAATTATATATCGAATTCGCCCAAACCTCCCACGTTTTCTTCGTTTTCAACTACTTAAAACAGCGGAGGTTTTAGCTATTCATGAACTAAAACCTGATCTGTGTGTACAAAAGAAGTATGTACAGTCACTGTTTTTATCATAGTCATACCATTTTCCCACCCCCATTAGCCTCCTATCCCCCTTTGTTAATTTAACCCTTGTCACCGTTAGCTATTATTTGCTTAGCTAGACATGAAGAGGGTCGTTTCCCAGCAGCTTTTATCACTGTTTCACACTCCATTTGTTTTTGAAGCCATTTAGTTACATGTTCTCTCATAATACTTAATTGATTCACCACTTTCATGAGTCTTTTCACCCCTTTCTGAGTTATATACCTTCTATGAACAAGTGCATATATTAAGTCGTTTACTTTGTTATCATTCATACTTCAATTGTTATCATAATCACAAATGCCTATGTCATCAACCGTTTTATTATTATTGTCATCATCATCATCATATAGTGTTTAGTTTTTCTCACGGGATATAATTTTTCAAATATCATACATATATGATTGTACAGCTTGAAAATAAATCCTCTAAAAAGAGTCTCTTCGCTGAATATCTGATTCTAGTATAAAAAACCGTCGACTTAATCTAAAAATACTGTAAATATGAGTAAATTTGCTGATAAAGACTTTTATTCTCATTCTATCCACATGTTTAAAACTCGGTTTGATTTCGAATCTATGAGGTTTAAAGTGAGAACTACGGTTTTTAATACGACAGAAAAAGTTGATGAAAGCATTCGGCAAACTCAACTAACATCAGGTTTATTTTCTAGGTCTATGACCAATGTAACAGGAATTAGAAATCAATTGAGTTATTGATAAGGAAATTGAATAGTTTGAGAATAGTTCTCAGTGCGAACAAATGTAATTTGTTGAATGGCTGGAAACCAAGATGTATTGGATGACTGTTAAGTATCAGTTCACAGCCTAGAAACGTTTACCATTGCTTTCACATGCAATCAGAGCGAAAACCTACATAATCAGCAGGGTACTAAGGGCACTTGAAAAACCCGGTCGAGGATTATTGGTTGCAGTGAGTGAAATGTTAACTAGCTTACAGGAATCCGATATGATTCTGACTGGTTTCAACCAGTGACTATCCCAGTCTTTGGGAAAAGAGGGGAATTCCTTCTTGGTTACCACCAAAGAATCGACCTGATGAACACGGTGTTTAAGATTCTAGGTACAAAGTGAAGTCCAGAAGCTGAAAACCCAAGCAAACCAAGTAGATTTCAGAATTTGCAATGTGTCGCAAAGGTTTTGGAACACACCTATCGGAACCCAACACTAACTCCGTTGATCCATATATTTTATGACAGTTTCTCAATAAAAGAAGTACGTGCAAAGCAGATCAGTACTTTAACACCTGTGGTTATGTTAGAGACTTCGATAACCTAAAAGGTGAGGTTCCTACTTCAAGTAGTATCCTTTAGGAATGTCGTTTCTTCGTTTTTAATCGACTCTGCCATGGATGTATCCCTCTTTCTCTGCCTAACTTTAAGGGGTCACACAATACACACCTATAATACGTAGACGATACAGTCCCTTAAAGTCCATGGTATGTAAAGCCTTTTGTAGTATGTATTTGCCTGAGTCTGTCTACTCCAGATTACAGTGAGTATATTTCGTTCATTAAAGTCTACTACTTCGTTTTAACGTTCAAGTTTCAAAAGCGAATAGTTCATTAGAGTTTTTCCTCAACTGTATACATATCAAGTTTGAAATCGAATCTGGTTAATTTTTATCATTTATATCGAATTCAAAGGAGAACGAAGTCAATGTCTAGTAGGAAGAGCCAAAAAGCAGCCGTACGGTTTTGATCTGATCAGGATTTAATTATTACTGGAGTAAATAAGGTTAGTGATGTTTCATTCTCTGGGCTGGTTAATTCGATCGCAAAAATTACACTGTCTTTTTAGATAATATTGTAAAAGACCGCTAAAGCAGGCTTTTATCACATCAAGAACTGATATCTATAGACTACTTGGTCTCCATAAAATCCATGATGATGTTTCGGCACTACAGTCACTTGCATATATGTAGAAGTCAGCGTACTATGTACTGACTAAGTGGCCTGTCCAATTAATAAAACCATTTGGAAAGATATTATGCGAACGGAATTTGCAAGATACGGTGGAATCCATATGTCCAACTAAGGATTATGATACTATCCAGCTGTTCAAGCCTAAGCAGTTGGGACCAGATTTGAGCCACGAACCTAGTGATGAAAACAGAATGCGAAGAATAACTGGCAAAGTCTCCATTCTGTTGTTATGATAACGACTATGTGTTGACGAAACTTTAAATCGACACAATCGCTTATGCAACAAAGTTAATTCCTAAGGAAACAAAAGTAAAAGGTTTTCTTATCAAAACACCTGTAACAAAGTTTAAGAGAAAAAGAAAGAGCAGTGATCCTTAACAACTTTAAATGAACATAGTAGTTTTCTTTCAACCTTGTAATTATTTAGTAAACTTAATCAACTCTTAGTGGAGTTGGTTCTTTACTATGCTAGGAAATGTGTTGGAGTCAACGCAAGTACGCGCGAAAAAATCAATGACAGTTACTGCATCCTTTGCATGTTCCTACCAAACCACATAGAGAATAACACAAAGTAGTATAGGAAAGTAATAATGTGAGTAAATGACTGACCAAACCAACGTAGAAACTTGCACATAGGTGCGTCAAATCAAGTTGTCACACCTCACGGTAGTACATGAACAACAGACGGATAGAAAAAGTGATATCAACGTAGGAAAGGTTGTGTGGGAGAAAAAACATTTTGAAGATTATGACTAGTTAGAATATCCAAACTCTAGAAGATGTCAAAGAGTGAATGCATCTGCACCATTGTAACCGATTTTCAGCCATGTTACCAAGAGTAAGTCCTCAACCATTGACTGGTATTTTTCGTCTCGGTCACCTCAACCGGACAGTCTACATCTCCCCACACAGCTCAGACTAACAGTCAGAGACTTCATCAACTGATGACACGTCTTCGTCTGGTCACCCTGAAACCTCTTTCAACATAACCCAACATCCTCTAGCATGGCACGTCGACGTAAGTGGTAGTGGCTTGGCATGCATAGTACATGCTATGTTAACACAACAACGGCGTAACACCATATCTGTTTATAGGTTAGTTTTAGATGAATAAATATCATTCCCACTTTCCACAAAATGTAGTTCTCATCAAGCTGTCAAAGACCCCACGTGCAATTCGGTAACTTGACTCTGTAGTAAAACCCCCGGGCAATGCGACAATTTTTCTGGAGCCTAACGTTTCTGCAGTGCCCGTAGCTTTTTGTCGAACTGTCTGTACTATCCGTAGAGTAAATGCATTTGTATTTGTCTGGGCACGTGCACACAAGTCATAGTGTATACAAAGTTTTCATGACAATTGATATTCTTCCTGAAATACGTAATAAACATGCAAATTTGTTAATATGTGCCTGTAGATGTGCACACTTATGGCCAGCTGACCATTATTACTTATATATTGATATTTTTGAAATTGCGATCGCAACTACTTTTCACGAAGAGTCACTGAAGGGCACATGAAGTTAGCTTCTCCTACACAATAAGACAGCAGGTCAAGTACATATAGATACGTAGTTAAGCTAACAGACTGTAAGGCTGTTTTTTAAAATTACCAAACTTTTAGGCTCACCTGTATCCATTGTCACTAAGGTAAATTGTTTTGAATTCCCTCTAAAATGGCCAAACTCAAGGTTACGCTCAGTGTAATATCCAATGTCTGTTTTCCAAACATCTCTTTGTAACGACCAGTTGTTAGTAGTTTATCGTTAAGTCTACAGGTACGTTGTTGTAGAAGGGTATATATGAATTTACCTGTGGTAGTTCAACCAAATGCCGAAGAATCCGACACATTTTAACGGCCACCCTAGCAACTGCTGAGATAACTAACTAGGTTTCATTATTCTACGAGAAACTACCTTCATTGCTATGCTACTGAACCCCGATTGGCTGTTACAACAGTCGCTAGGGTGACATTTACAGTTTCCCCAAGAATTCTGAAGAGAAAGAACAAAGAAAAGAATGTTAACCAGTAAATAAGTAACCCTAAAAGACGCACATAAACTTGATTAAAAGAAAGACGATTAACCAACGGTAGCCATTCATAATGAGAAAATTAGGCGGTCTGGGAACAGAAAGTGGAATGCGAACTGATAGGGCTTCGGATCATGACCTTGCTCCCAGGTTTCGCTCAAAATCTGCTGGTCTCTGGTGAGTTGTGATTCAGTATTTTTATACAGTCACCTAATTTAGCTCCAGAAAACATGGCAGATGGTCGGGCCCTGGTTAAATTTGTATGAAGGTGCGTGGTTCGTTCATAGACCCAGATGTAAATATGATCTCGGACAATCGTCTGCACTGACTGAAGAAAGATAGGGGGATTCGGGTGAAAAGTAACGAGAACAAGCGGAAGCGAAAAGTCAGGGTGAAGGAAAAGATAGCTGTAAAAACGACCCAGAAAGAGAGAGAGGCGAACGGTGATAAGTGGGATTAAAATGACTAGGGTTAAATGGGGGTGGGTAAGAGGGAGGAGAAAGGTCTCAAAAAATCACAGCATGGGCAACGCAAATATAAATTGTGGTGGAACTCTTAGTGGAACGGAAACTGGAGAGATAGTAGGTCAGTTAGTGGGAAAGAGTAAGTGATTAATTATAGAAGGGGAGGAGGCGGAGTCGCGCCCACACTCTTATTGACAATGAAGGAGGATTGGTATTGATGTAACGGGAAGTGTTGAATTGATTAACACCAATTGTCTCAGCATGGTCCATATCTCAACGCGGTGGGCATAGTACATGTGTCACTGCGCGGTCGTCTAACCTTTCCTTGAAAATTTCAGCAAACGGAGCTGCGGAGCCCCATTAACCACAGAGTCGGAGAGAAGCGTGATCACACGTAGGTATTCGCTCTTTGATAGGAAGTTCGGTCCAGGCCTCCACGAGAATTTTTTAAAATTACTTTGCTCATCTGATCTGGGCTGCTTGATTACTTGTAGATTCTTTATCAAGTTACCACTCATCCCACTGTAACTGTGGTTATAAGCGCCTACATCCCTTGGTCCATTTTCTGATTCTCATTGCTTTCCTACAGCATTCGGTGTGGTTTATTTTTGGCCTTCATCCCGGAGGTCTGCACTTTTTTTGCAGTGTGACGATACGGCAATGTTTTGAAGCTCCAGGTGGGGTGGCATTTAAATCTTGGTGAGCCAACATAAAAGCCCTAGGTGAATGTACTTGATGGGTCAGGCATGAGGTGCAATGCCGCAGGGGCCTTGAAGGCGTCTCGAGGACATCTTGAACTGGTGCGCATAGGGCCTGTGAAGATTAGATCCACATCTTTCTCCGGAGCCGTTAAACCCTACAAGTGCAGTTTTCCGCAGTTCTTTTAAGATTGCTACGAGGATCATCACAGTGGCTGTCAGGCGCCATGATCTGTGAGGAGTCTACAAGCTGTTACCTGGCATGCGTTCTAAGGACAGAGTAGTGTTTCCACCTCAGTGAAAGGTATCCTGATTAGATTTGGCTGAGAACGTTCATCTGAAGTGCAGTTTCCCCGCCTTTCTGTGAAATTCATGTTCTGAATAGAAAACTCAATTTTCTTTGTTAGCCAAAGTTATACGTGGGTACCGGTTGGGGTCCGAACCTTTTGACTGTCGCCATCCAGCTAATGAGGGTGTGCATTGCAACAGATTTGGCTGCTGGTCTAAAAAATTGCGCGCCTACTTGATAACAACTTTGTGCAGGCGTTTCGGAAAGCCAATTTCTCCCTGCTCTTCAAAATTTTATTGCAATCATATATCTATCTCTGTGCAAGAGACCGACAAGGTGTTTCAATAATGACAACAGTAATGATAACAAATGGTTTATTCTCAGGTTATGAATTTAACATTAAAGAGGCCGGTTTACAGGGATCATCAAATTAAGAACTGCAGAGCAACCCAAAAGATTTGAGCAGTGTTGAATGGTACAGAAGAGAGGACATTTAACTCTACCATGGTAACAAGTCTCTAAAAGTTGTGGGAAGAGCAGGAAGATATCACTTCACAGTACATCCTCATCGTTTTGAATTTAAATCATTCCTACTCACAATTCTTTTTTCACACTAAGGTGGCACCAGATCGGCGCAATATTCGGTATTTGCATCATGAGTAGTCGATATGATTGACCTGTCTTCAAAACCCAATGTTTCGTCAGATGGACGTCTATTTTAACAGCAAGCTTCAAGGTTCTTAGCTTTATTCACCAAGAATAGCTTGCTTCAACGATTTTGGGAATAAGTAAGTATCCATTAATCATTTAATCCAGGTGAATATCCAAGTTCAAACGTTTTTCACTCTTTGAGTGTACCTTTCCCAGCAATTCAGACTGATAATGCCGGAAGTATTTGTTGTGGTGCAAGTGATTAAAGACTGGAAGAACCGTCGTTCAACAGTGTTGAGTATTACACATATGTAAAACTTCATAGACTTAGTAGTAGTAGTAGTAGTAGTAGTATGCAGCATTGACAAAGAGATACATTGGCTGTTAATGAAATTCTGTCGGATGGATTCATACAAGATGAAGTGCCAGAGAAATCTGTTGCATAGGATTATTGTGGATGTGTTGCCGTTGGGTAAAGTGATCTCTCGGGTTTGGTTGTTTATCCAGATTCCCGTTGCATTTACGATGGACCAGAAATCGGAGACCAGTTGTTGTGCTTGAGGTTTCGTATGTGGTGTTATTCAGGGTGCTGGTGGGCAGGTGAGTTGATTGTGAAGCTGTTCAAGAAACAGGAAGTCAGGAGCAGGCCAGCTGAATACTTCCAACATCAGTTTCCAATATTACGTACGAAGTAGGATTTTCAGTAAGTTGATACTTTTTCATCAAATTAGCGCTTGGGATTTTCTCCTCAGGTAGATACTGAGAAGAGAAGAGGAAAGAATGCGCAAGGACAGACTGGACAATGGAACGCCGCATAAAACAACCTAGGAGGAGAGAAAATTTTGCCTTTTTGGAGCCGTTTGAACTATATGTAGACTTTAATTTATCCGAATAAGAATAGCTCTTCTGTTCTTCTTACATGGAGTTCGCGCGAGTTATTAGATAGACAATTTTTGTTGGAAAACTTAGAGGGAACAGTAAAAAAGTATTTGTACTGAGCAATTTAACCAGATGGACTAGTGATCAAACATGATTTGTGAGTCCATTGAGGTAAAAGGTACTTGGGGTTTATGATGACCTTACTCTATACGTTTAGAGGTCTTAGCATATTTTCATTATCCCAGAACGTACATATAGTGCCTAGGCTAGTGAGGAACGAGAGACAGATAATGAACCTACAGTAAGTATATCCCCAGGAAGTCAGTTCCAGATGTAAGAGAACTTGTTGAGGAAGAAATTTCCCCACAACTTGGCCTAACAACACTCATTTTCAACCAGTCGAACATGTTTAGATGTTACAACTGTTTTAATTTCCGGGCCACATGGGTGCATTTGCTTATGGGATAATTTATAGTAAACTATAAGATTCATCCCAGGTCACCTCTTCCAGAGAAGTTCCAGTCCTAGCATGTTGCATCTGGAGATGTAGTCTAGGCCGCAGTCAGCTCCTAGTGTTCTTTAGGCAAGGTGGTGTCCTACCTTCTCAATTTCTCGCTTGTCGCTTATACGAAGGTCACTTAGAATAACGGGCAATATTCTAAAACTGGACGGATGCTCATTCTGTAGAGTGGATCCTTTGCTTCAGTACCATAAAAGTTATGGACGATGCACCCAAAGAGCCTACGAGACCATTGTGATGCAGACTGTTTGTTCGGGGAATGTTAAGTCACTGGAATACCTAGGACCAAGATCTAGCACTGGAGGACGTCTAGGTAGCTTTTGTCCACATACTTTCAGAGACACATCTAGGTTATCGCTGACCATGCTAAGCCAGCCACACTTAGCTATGTTGAACTTGAGATGGGACTTGCTGGGCCACTTAGCAACTTCGCCTAATTCTTGTTGAGCAGTAGATAGCGAATTGCTTAGTTCATGAGTGTGATGCGAGTACACAGCCTGAAGATCGTAAGTGTACAAAAGCGTTTCCCTCGCAGTGAAGCACTTGCACACACCATTAATATAAGTTATGAACAACAAAGGCTCGAGGACACCACCCTGTATTACTCCACTAGTTATGAGCCTAGGTTTAGACTGCATGCGATCCACTTTAACCACTTGACTGTGATCACTAGGAGATGCTTTTAGTCAACGAAGTAAACGGTCATGAATGCCGATCGATTGTAGCTTGTCAGAGAGCATATTGTGTGGGACCTTGTCAAATGCCTTTGGTATGTCAAAGTACAGAACAATGACGATTTTATGTGCCTCACGGCCACTGGTGATAGGGTTGAAGAAATCGAAGTGGCAAGTAACAAAGGACCTGTTAATGAAACCGTGCTGAGACTTAGTAATGAGATTTCCTCTAAGTAGATAATTGGAGATGCGGCTCCCAATCACTTTTTCCATAATTCGAGAGACGACTGGCGTTATGTTGGTAGGTCTGTAGGCACTAGGATTCACCTTGTCACTGGGTTTGTGGCGAGGAGCTATGAAGCTAGTTTTCCACTCACCAGGATAGTCTCCACTTTCCATCGGCAGTGTGAATATCTTAAGCAAGAACAGCGGCACATCATCACCACTGTTTCTGATGATTACTGAGTTTAGGTCATCTATACCCGTACCCATCGACAGTCTCAGGCTTTTGATAGCCTCTCTGATGTTTTTAACAGTGAACTCCACTCTAGTACATGAACTAGTAGTAATTGGGGCAAAACTAGTGGGGTTGAAGGAATTAAGGTTGAAATTTGAGAGTGATTCGCTAGGCACTCCACTAACCTTGAGGGGATCGTTGTGTACCACCCCATTATGCAGCAGATAGGCTACATCCAGTGATGGCTCCAGACGTTTACTCAGAAGAGATGTCAGCTTGTGTACTCTAGAGTCACTTTTGAGAGCGACTATCTCTTCGTTTACTGCATGTTTCCACGTGGTGTTTTGATAGATTTGTAAGTCCCATAAATTGAGTGCAGTGACATGGTCTTTCGACGAGTGGTAAGGTGATGATAATTTCCTAAGTTTTTTGCGGAATATTTTAGGGGTATATGGGTCTGGCTCCTTACAAGCCCTAGCCGTTTTCACAGGAGCAACAATATCTAGACATAGCTCTATATTTCTGTGGAAAAGTTCGTCTGTTAATGAGGCTGTGGTAAAGCAGTCATCCCATCTGTGATGCAAAATCTTCACATTTCGAGGTTTTAATAAGAAGCCGTGGTCAGTGGGGTCAGCCAAGTCGAGCATGGGGATAGTTACCCATTGACGACATTGGGTGTGGGCTGCGCTATGTTGTGAACTAACTGAAGTAGGCAATGTGGGCAATTGGATTCCGACCCAGTGGCTCAGTGGTGGCGTGCTGACGACGAAACCTGAATTTCTTTGGTTCGACACCCGGGGGGCGTGGTGGGGTGATAAGTTCGCACTGCTGAGCAGTCTCACGCTGGGACCAAACAGCTGCCCATTTCTCCCAGGTTTCCAGTATTCCTTCAGCTGATGTCAGTTCATGATGAATGCCAACACAAAAATCAATTAATAAACCCCCAGAAGCCTTCAGATAGAATTCGGGATGCTGGCAAAGAGACAATGGATAGCGATAAAACTCCCAGAACCAGTGGAATCCTGATTACGTCTCACGACATGCAGCTGAAATTTTGGGCAGGGCATATTTGGGCACAGTTCAACTAACCTACAGCGATGTTTCAGTTGCATGGTATTCATCTCCAAACTTGAATGGGTGTTTGACATTCAAACAAGGAGCCGTGGCTACGAACCTCACTTCACCTACTGGAGGCTGGGCAGCCCGTTCATAAAAGGTGTGGCCTGCCGCCAGATGCATCAGCGTGCACACGGTTGATATGTTATATTCCATTCTACTGTTCTCTGAACTAACAACAATCAGTGGATTTTCATTGTAACCACTTTATTTAACGTTGTTATAGATACCCTGTAGGAAAAGCCATAAATGATTCCGACTTCTCACGGACTCACTTAATTCTAGGAGAAAACCCTGTTGAATTGGAGTACGCATGCAGCAAAGAAATGTTAGATGAAGACGCCTTCTGAGCACACTGAGTGAAAATCTGAGTAAATTTGGTATACTTTTTACACTCATCAAGACTAAGATGTTGCTTCATGACTGGTTTTCAGTCATTCTCGGTTAAGGGATTGACATAGGAAAATAGATTAATGTATGGACAATGGTTGCACATGTTTCCACTGACGACAGAAAACAACATTTTGCCTACATTTTTATTACGTTATCCTTGAACGTTTAATTTTTTTCTTATTGCCCGCTGAGAACTTCGCAAGGTCACTTAACACGAGTACCTGGCGTTGTGGAATTTTAGTGCCATGTTACTTAATGGTGATAGTGACGTCGTTGGTGAAGCAGCTAAGTTTCATAAGCCGGGGGAAAACTACAAATCCCCTGGATATGTAGTTACTAAAAGCACCATGAGACTACTGAAAGAACATATGAAGCAAACAGGTGGTAAAGTGGTTACCAGGTTCCCTCCGGAGCCGAACGGTATTTTGCACATTGGTCACGCTAAAGCAATCAACTTCAACTTTGGTTATGCAAAGGTGATTCAAATAAATTGTACTTAAACGAATCTAGAAAAATGGTGGTATAACTTACTTGCGGTATGATGATACTAATCCTGAGAAAGAAGAAGCGGAGTTTTTCGAGGCCATCGAAGAGATGGTCAGGTGGTTAGGTAAGTTCTTAATTGAACTAGCAACCGATAGGCTTTACGCCTTACAAAATTACTCACGCCTCGGACAATTTCCAGCAGTTATATGAATGGGCAATTAAACTAATTAAACTGAAGCTAGCATATGTATGCCATCAGGCCGTTGAAGAAATACGGGGTTTTAATCCTCCACCATCTCCATGGAGGGATAGACCAGTTGAAGAGTCCTTACAACTCTTTGAGGACATGAAAAATGGAAAGGTATGTGTGCTTGTTCGTAAGTAGTTTGTATACAAACCAAACAAAATTGTTGAATAAGTTATCATTAAATGTGTCGTCAGGCGTTTGACTCATAAGACTGCTATTTGGGATTCGAAATACTGCATACGGTATCTGCGCAAGATTTCGGACCTTCATTTGATGTACATCCGTGCGTTTGTGTATGTTTTAGAGTAGGTTTAGTTGATCATGGTGTTTATGTTCTTTTGGTTGTAAATGATTGTCAAAGCTGTATTTATATGCGACAAACCACCGACTAATTATCATAACATTTGGAACAGTGACTAGTGGAATAGGGCATTAGAACTTCAACCAATTGGTCATCGGCTTGTGATATTTAAGCCGACTCAGGTGGGGATTGTAGTATATCAGTAACGTGTATGCGATTGCTGAGTTGTATTCAGTTGTTCCCTACAGAATGGGTCGGATCGATTTACTCTAAGAAATTCCGCTGCCTCTCTACCATACTATCGCTACGTATGTGACCATATTTTCAAATCTTTGAATTTCCAACCTTGTTTCACACATTGTTTGTCTCATAAATCGGTGTATTGTAACCATTTTTGTACTCACTGCTTAATGGTGTTGCTCACTTCTATGTAGTTAGACTAGCGTTTTGACCCTTTTGTTTACCGATCTATCGTAACGTTCTTGGTTTCACACCTTTTTATTTTATTAGATGTAGTTTTATAGTTTTCTTACTATACACTTTTTATAATGTCTGTTATATAGATTGATGAAGGGCAAGCTACTTTACGTATGAAAGTGACATTAGGAGATGGAAAAGTTGATCCAGTAGCTTATCGTATCAAAATGACTCCTCATCATCGTACAGGTACTAAATGGTAAGGGATAGCCTTTTTGCATCATTTGACAACTTTATCTAGGTGCATTTATCCTACTTACGATTATACGCATTGTCTGTGTGATTCCATCGAGAATATTACACATTCGCTATGTACTAAAGAGTTCCAGTCCCGGTAAGTTGTCCATTCACATTTCAGGATATATTATGCAAGATTCCAGTCTTAGTAAAATGAAGTTTGATTTCAGCGAACTGATTAGGTTTTTGCTTCCCCAAGTTGTCTGTTTGAGCTTCAACATTTATGGCTCAAATAAATATTTCATCTGTTGTATGTTCCCAGGAATTCCCATGTTTCGTAACGTGTTTGTCTGTCGAATAGGTTACGCTCTCTTACCAGTGTTTGGAATGTTAGTCAAACAATCATATCTTGCTCTCTTTTTGTCGCATCATGCAAGGAAGACTGAAAGATCTTAAGATTGCTACCACATTGAAAAAGTTTACCCCATCTCGTTGCGTAAAGTGGTTACTTAAATCATCACCTCGACCGTATTGTTGGTCGGTCTAAATATAACAATTCTGCTACTGGTGTTCATTGGCAGCTTGTTTTAGTTTTCGGCAAAAGCACTTTTTGTTCAATAGATATTGGTTTGTGTTATCTCATATAGTTTGGATTTTTAAGTTTATCCAGTCGTTTTCGTTCATTTGCCTATTTGGTAGATGCTAAACAAAACAGAATCATACCATCAAGTTTTTAATTATTCATTGGCTGATAGAAGCTAGTGCGAATCGCTGAGATATTTGGTAACAAATGTAGCTAACTAAAAACAACAATATGATCCCAATCTTCCTGTGAACAAGTTAACGTGAGACGTCTCAATCTGTTGACCAGTACTGTTGAAAAGTTGGTTTTCTAGTTTCTTAATCTTTATTTTCGATTCTCAGTGCTTGCTTTCTTCAAGTGTAAACACTTTATTGGTTATCCGTATGCTTAAGAAAATTATCTTCCTAGTGACTGAACTCTCAACCTAATGTATTTCAGTGGGGCCTAATTTATTAAAGTCGCGATTTGAATAATTCATGTTCATTGTGGTTAATCTAACTTCAAGCGCATTAAAAAAATCTTAGCAAAATAAATTAACTGATTATGAGAAAAGTGCATTTATTAAAGTTACTAAACTTTGAAACTCTTCATTGAGTTTAAAACAGAATAAGGAAATGTATAAGCTTTATCATTTGAATATTTAGGATTATAGAAACAAATGTTTCTTTGTTTGCTCTCCAATCGCAACTCCTATTATTTTATAATTTGGTACCATTGGGGGTCTCTTTCCTCTCTTGTTATATTCCTTACAACCTGACATTTTCGACTTCGTATTTTCAGACGTCCTGCTTACTATTGGCTTTGTAATTCGCTAGATATTTACTGCCCGGTTCAGTGGGAATATGGTCGTTTAAACTTGTATTATAGTGTGGTGTCCAAACGCAAAATTTTAAAGCTCATTGAAGCTGGGATTGTAAATGATTGGGATGACCCACGGTTAGTAACTCTGACAGCACTTCGTCGACGTGGATTTCCACCTCAAGCTATTAACATATTTTGTGAACGCATTGGTGTCACTATGGCTCAAACAACTCTCGACCCTTCAGCTTTGGATGCTTGTGTGCGAGACTATTTAAATGATCATGCTCCACGTGTGATGGCTGTTTTAGAGCCAATTAGCGTCACAATTACCAATTGGTCAGAATTGTATGGTGATGTTTCTTCTACTGAGGTAAGCAGGTTTTCATTCTTCAGATTTGTGTAGAGTCGGCTATGTTGTTCGCTTATGACGAAGTGTAAACAGTAATAAAAATCCTGCAGTGTATTAGTAGCTTTACAATTTCGTATTGTGTAAGGAATCATCCCATTAAGTATTAAAATATTGATTATTCTTTGCTCCGATTCCCCTTTATGAAGTTGGAAAGAGCAAGAGCAATGTGATCAAGATAAAACAGATCCATTTTATTTTGGCAGCATGTCGTCAACTGCTCACAACCTGGAATATCAAAATACATAGCTTTCTTGAAAGTTTAACCTGCTTTACTAGACCGAAAGAAGACAGAATACCGGTCAGTAGTTAAGATGAAGAGGAAACGTCATGACCTAGTGGTAAGTCATAACGATAAATTCAAAGAAGGTTTATGAATGTTAACGGAATCTTCACAATTACATACATGATTCAGTTGGTTTCTCAAATAAAAGCGACGGGGGTAGCAACCGAAATATTGAAGGACTCAACATAATAAGATTAGGTAAGTCATTCGACAAATAAATTACTAAACAAAACATGTAAAATATTGTGAGTTAGGCTAAGTTAATTGAAAACAGTCAACAGGAACAAAATTGATTTAACGAACGATAATATAACTTAATGAGTGAGGGTATCAATACCTGAATTTAATAAAGGATGGTGTAGTCAAATAACACGCAAGAAAAGGTTATCAGAACAGATAGAGGTTGACTACAGCTTCTTTTTAAACACATGGATCAGGTTCGAGGTATTTGATAGATACAGCCTCAGTGAAATTCAGGCGAATTGAGCTTGTTAGTTTGTTTATCTCGCAAGAACCGGAGACTTCTGCCTGAGGTCCAGTGTCAATGAGATGCTGAGTGATTGCGCTGTTCAGTATTACTTCCTTTTAATTGTAGGTTCTTCAAAATGTGTTCAGAAAATCCAGGGTAGACCCTTCTTTCTGTTCTTCCAAAGCATCTACTTCAGCAGCTAGACGTAAATTGATGTTCACAATTAGAGGTAACATAGGAAAGGTACCTGTCGACTTTTGACTGGACTAATGAACACATTGTTTGGTACACAGGAACAAACTCGTATGTAGGGAGAATTCTATCCAGTGAAGTCTTCAATCGTTTGCTAATAGTTTCTGCAATGTCATCACCTTCGAAACTGAGGTGAATGAATGCAGGCTTTTAGCCGACTGTAGTTCTCTTTGACTTTTACCTTCCGTGTTCACACATCCGTTGATAAGTGTTTGCGGATATTCATTATCTCATAGGCGTCTTCAAACATTGGCAAATCTTCCTCCATTTTGTCACTGGAATTTATCATTCCTACTATGTGAAAGGTGGGCAGATAGTTGGCTGAAACGTTAGAACTCGCTAGTTGACTACTCGCTGCATGCTCTCTTACAGACTTCTTCCAATTCGCCGAAAGCTAGAAGTATACTGATGTTTTCAAGAAGTTCATGGTGTCTCTTGGTGTAACTTCCTTATTCTCCAATGTGCCTCCTCATGAAAGCATAGATATTATATTTCCGTATCCCTATCTTCCCATGACATCAGGAGAGTTTCATCCATGTCGCCAAGACTCCTCAACCATTCATTCCTTTCGTTTCGGGGAGTCTACATCTCCCCACACAACTCAGATCAACAATAAGAGACTTAATCGACTGGCGCCAGGTCTTGATTTGGCCACCCTGAATCCTCTTCCAACACAATCCAACTTCCCCTAGCATGGTACATCGAGATAGGCGGTGGTACGGTATGCGCAGTACATATCCAAACCATCTCAGCCGACTAAGGTTAACAACCTCATCAGTCGACTTGCTTGTCTTGTCTTGTACCCTTTGTCTGACAGTTGTGCTAAGTTGCACATTCCCTAAAGTCTGAATTTTCGAGGTTATAAGTTAAGTTATATTATCGTTCGTTAAATCAATTTTGTTCCTGTTGACTGTTTTCAATTAACTTAGCCTAACTCACAATATTTTACATGTTTTGTTTAGTAATTTATTTGTCGAATGACTTACCTAATCTTATTATGTTGAGTCCTTCAATATTTCGGTTGCTACCCCCGTCGCTTTTATTTGAGAAACCAACTGAATCATGTATGTAATTGTGAAGATTCCGTTAACATTCATAAACCTTCTTTGAATTTATCGTTATGACTTACCACTAGGTCATGACGTTTCCTCTTCATCTTAACTACTGACCGGTATTCTGTCTTCTTTCGGTCTAGTAAAGCAGGTTAAACTTTCAAGAAAGCTATGTATTTTGATATTCCAGGTTGTGAGCAGTTGACGACATGCTGCCAAAATAAAATGGATCTGTTTTATCTTGATCACATTGTTGTTCTTCTTTCCCCAATTTTATTGAACTGGCTGTTGGAAAGCATATTTTATCAAAGGGTAAATTTACTGTGATGAATTTAGAGTCTGTGCAAATGCATTGGACTTAGTAAAATGAAGGTATCGTTTGAGTTGATATTAACTTGTTTTTCCTGTGCTAACCTTTCTAATCTTTCGAAACAAGGTTTCATGTCATATGAGTTTGTTCATAATGAGGAATATATCTGGTGTGTAGTGGACAAGAATGCTGGATAATGGTTAGAAAAGATATATCGCAATTTTTAGTTTAGTCATTTTGGAATTCTTTGAGATAGTGGTTTTCCAGTCTTAGGGTTGTATGAAATCCATCTTAGTTTAAATTATTTTGTGTTTCGGAAATGGAGTATTACACTGCGAGATATTTTCTGTAATTTTTGAAAAAAATGAGCACATTAACTCGTGATTTTCAGTTTAATGCTTTGATATGTTGGCGTTGTGTGAACCTTACCTATTACTAAAGGAATCATCCTTAGTCATGTTACTTGAATGGGTAGTTAAGTTATTCTCTTACACATTGTGTCATGTTAACCTTGCCAACATTGTAACTATTTCTTTTACTCAATTTGGCTATCTGTAGCATAGTTTGCTGCTCTTTATTTGTAGCTTACTGTGGCCGATTTTCCTGCCTTGGCGGATAGTAAGACTCATAGTGTTTACTTACAGCCGGAACTGTACATAGAAAATACAGATTTCCAGGAAGTTGGGGATAAAGGATATCGTCGTTTAACACCTAACCAACCGGTTGGTCTTCGTTACACAGGTCTTGTTCTAGAGTTTTCTGAATTAAAGAAGGTGAGGCATCATTGAAGAATTCTTTTTGAGAGGACTTCATTTTTGTGTTTATTCAATGTTAGATTTTGCGGTTTACTTTTTCATCTCGTTGTTATTGTCCAGGTGTGTTTGTTCGTAATCTAAGATTGAATGTTTTAGTATTACGATATCACTTACCGTTTCTGTTCATACCGTTTTGAACTGAACATTCAGTCGCGGAAACATTTGTTTACAAATCCATCTAATAAAACTTGTGTCAATAAATGCTGGGATACAATTAAATGTGGTCAGAACATGATTTCTGTGTGCAGCAATCTGAGTTTTGCACAGCTCAATAACGCAAGAGAAAAAATGTTGAAGTGTTTGAGAAAATGAATGAAATCAAAAGAAGTCCTGAAAAAGTTGATAGCACGAAAAGCAAACTGCTTAGATAATCTAGTCGAAAAATATTTTCAATAATCTTAAATTCAACCCAAGGTTGTAAATAATCCTGACTGGTTATTCTTAATTCACTTTACATGCTGCCATAATTTGCTGTAAACTGAAGGCTTTTATAAACTTCAAGCTTAATTAGAATGTGGATAACTATCGGTGCAGGTGTATGCTTGTGTTCTGTTTATCATTTCATTTAGTTTTAGTTGGTAATATGGGGAGCGGATTTGACTACTTTATGAATTTTGTTTTATAGTCCATCAGTTTTGGGGTGGATAGTTTGAAATGTCCGGATTTAAGTAGTATGATTGCTTAATGTACTGTGTTCTTTGTGTGTTGTTATTTAATAGAGCTAATATACTGGTTTGTGACAGTAATTTCAAGATTATTCTGTCTGTTCTATTTAGGATTCCAATGGAAAAATTGTTCATTTATCCGTGAGAGGACGAAAGGTCGAAGAGTCTACAAAACCAAAGGCTTTTATACACTGGGTATCCAACCCTATACGATTTGAGGCCCGGTTGTATAACCGACTGTGAGTTTGTTTTTTGAAGCCTACAGGATATTGTACAAAACCAAGTCTCTTCAAGTGTTAGTATGATTCATTTTTTTTTTTGTTAATCTCTTTAGATTTACCGCCAAAGAACCAGAAAACGAAAAAGGTGGATTCTTGTCTGTGATTAATCCAGTATGTTGTGTCATACTTATGTCATTTTGGCCCATGATAGAATTTGTTTTGTTGTTATCATGTCGATTATTCTTCTGTCATAAGTATTATATATATATATATATATATATGTATATATATATATATATATAAATCGGATAGTGAGGTCATATTGTTATAGAGGTCCCATACTTACATAGCAGGTCAGGAAAAGTATGCTTTACTGTTTTATGAAACGTAACTAGGACATGTGACTGTGGATTATTGTCAGACTCATAAATTAGGTTTCCATGACACAACAGTTCATATTTATTGCACTCTACCGATTAATACTATAGGTCCACATTGTTTACTGTCACGTCTCCACTAATCCTTTTCAGTGATGTGTCACCAGTTGTATTTTGTGATTCTTGCAAACACGTCGTTTAGCTTAGTACAGATTTCGTCCTCATTGCAGTTTAGATTAGACGGTTAACTTTGTTTTATTCTTTTCTCATTAGTTTGGGAAAAAAAATAACGCGTTTATGCTATCTTTTTGTTTTTTCAACTCTAAATTACTTTTAGTTTGTTTTGAAATTTGGTTGTTAAATAGGGTTAAAATATTCACTCATCAATTCAAGTTTGTCTGGAGGCTTTTCTGTTCTGTCGTAGAATGACTAAAATACAGAGTAAGAAGAAAATTTAGTTTGAAACAGAAAAATTGAGCAGAATGCAACAAGAAAAACCTTTATACCAACTTACACTACTTGAATAGTTTATTATTATCTATTTTAATCGCATAATATTTACTGACTGATTTATTTTTTCATTTTCATTTCATATTCATTTGTCTAGAATTCATTGATCGTGATTCCAGATGCTCTGGTCGAACAGTCTGTTAAAAATGCAGAGGTTTACAGTGCATATCAGTTTGAACGCATTGGTTTCTTTTCTGTGGATCCGGATACAAAATCAGAACGTGTAAGGTTTTTATATTCAATGATAAATATTATTTGTGTAATGTTTATTATGTAGGAAATTGTTATATCAAGGTGGACTCAAATAATCTAGAAATCATCTTCATTCCGCTGCTCGTCCACTTCTGTTGACTGTTGATATGAGCCGTATAAGAAGACACAGTCTTCATATTTGGAGTACTCAAAACTATTTGAATCAATGGTTGGAGACTTGGTTGCGTAGCTGTAAAACTACACACACTGGTGCAGAAGTATTCACTCTTTGGTGTCCTCCAAAGCTCAGATATTTTTCTTTTATTTCCTCCTCCCACACATTTTCATCTACTTTAGTTTCACTTTCGATCCATTTCTTTGCATGTTGGCGTGAAGTCTGACAGCTCAAACCGATGCACGTCTGTGCGATGTTTCCATCTATCTTTCTCCACTAAACATTACGAATTGTCATGGCTACTTACCATTGAAGTGGGAAATTTCCGTAGTAATTCGCACTTTTTCAGAATTGTGTCTAAATTATTTCAACTTATATCTATTTCTTAGCTTGTTTCACTTATTATAACTTCAAATCTTGACAGGTGTAACTTACTTTCAAATAATTAGTATTACTGACAGGCAGGTGTATTATTCTGAACCATTCTTAAACAGTTGTCCCGTGCCAACGGGCCTTTGCAAACCGAGGTAAAAGTATTCGATATTGTCACAAAAGTTCATAGTGTCCTTAAGTAAGATGACAACATTTTGTCTCATTGTTCTCTCATCAACTGTAAATGACCATTTCCTTCGAATCTTCAATATTCTAGTGCTCTATATATTTTATCCTGTCTCACTTAGTTTCTATTACTGTTCCCTAGCTTATTACCATTTTCGAGTTTCTTGCTGTGTTCGTATGAAGTGGGACAACCTGGAGTAAGATACATTTGTATCGGGTCCGAAATTGTTGTTATATATATGTCGGAAAATTAGTTTGAGTAGTTTTCGAGATATAGTCTTTGGTGTGATATTTTTCCACAAACTTATTCAGATGAGGAAAAGACATAAGTAACAGATGACTAAGTTTTTGTTAGTTTTGTGACTGACAAGAAGTGATTCTAACTTACATTCCATCTAGCATATTCTAGAAATAGTGAGAAGGTCAACCGTAGTTGAAGTAATTTTTATAAATTACCCATTTGTATTTACTTTAATCACTTTGTTCTTTTGGTATTTCAGATGATTTTTAATCGAACTGTGGCTCTTAAGGCAGATCCTGGCAAGACCGTGTGATCTGTAATTAGTTTTCAGGGTCGTGAATCTTGTGTATGAATTTGAGCAGTATACAAATTACTATATATTGTATAATATATTTTCTATGTGGCATGATTTTGTGTTGCTTTTTATATTTACACGAAGTATAATTTCCACCCGGGGCCTTAAATCTCTACCCGTGCTGCCTAATGACTTTCATTTTGCTGACGGCTTTCTAAGCATTTAGTAATACTTTTGCTTCGGATTATTAATTTTTGTTTCGCTGCGATGTTTGTGCTAAATGACTCGGGATACGTGAAACAATACAGAAATATCAGTCCTTTGTATTTCATGCGCGAAAGTTGGAGGAAGTTTTGAATGCATAAGGTGTAAGGTAGAAGAAAATGAGTAGGTAAAGTGTAATGACGATTTTAACTAACTGGCAAATCAAATGGGTGATGAAATGAGATCAAGGTTATCTGAAATGCAGTGATCTATTCTGTCTGCGGTATGAATGGTATACTCGAGCTGCATAAAAATGCAACTTACGAAACTCGTTCATTATTACAAACATAAACAGGACTAGATAATGTAAGGTGCTTAGAAAGAAGAAAGAACTTCTTATAAAGTACAGCAAGCGTTCTGATTTGAATGTAATGAGATGACGAATCAGCTCACATTTTTGTTTGGAATGCAGCACCATCATTTTCCGCTTACAAAGGTATTTTCTGTTTGCGTTACTAGTATTTAAACAGCGTAATGAGAAGGGGGGGGGGATGATTATTTGAAACATCTGATGTATATGTGCTATACATTTTGAACAATTTGATCACACATGAACTTGTCAAAATAATTTATCCAAAAACTGATAAAAGTTAATTAGGCCAGTGGAATTATAAGCAAGAAAACAAGAAAAGAAAGGTCAGATCACTCCCTCCCGAAATTATTAAGGGTTAAACTCAATACTATCAGGGTACGTTGAATGTAAGTAAAAATTGCTTTTGAATACATGGAGAAGGTTTAAATTTGTTGATAGTGAAGGTTTCGACAATTCTAAGTATTGGTCCCTGACCATATTCATGCAATACAGTAAAGGCTGTCTTCATATCAATCCAACGATCGGTTTCTAATATGTGTTTTGCGATGAATGAAGGAAGACGTTTGTTATCTGCATTTATAAAACTATTAAAGGTCATTTGTTTCATGCTTAACCCCGATAAAGAGTCAGTTGTTATTACGAATAAGTCTGAATATACATGTAAGATGTAATCTATCCTCAAAGATGAACGTAAATTTATGGTTGATTTCTCCGCTCAAAGGGTATGTAAATTATAATGAAGAGTAAATTCTGTCCTATTGAAACTGTTCAGCATGAGTGTTATTAACGAAAAGTAGTTTAGTTACTTGGAGTCTATGGGATGTGAATATTCGTACCTATATGGACTTCCTAAAACCACAGTTAATAGTCAACTCCGTCCAGTATTGTGTATGTGTCGGCCACCTGTACAAAAACTAGCAAAGTGTTTGACGAGGCCTTCGAATCCCATCAGAAGTCAATTTTTTAAGTTTTCCTTGGAAGACGTTTGAACTTGCTGACCAGTTAAATTATATCACCATCAGGAATAAGACTATGTATTCTTTTGATGTGAATTCTTTATTTACTAATGTACGATTGACCAAGACTATTGATATTCCTTGTGACGATATATCCTACAGAAGTCTTTTACTTTCATCTTCCTTATGATTATGCACTGATTAACGTTCAGTTTAAATTTGAGAGTGAGTACTTTTGACAAATTGATTGTGTTGCCATGGGTAGTCCTTAGGACCCTTACTGGCTGGCTGGGGACGTCGAAGAGTTAGTCGAAGGTTTGGTTGGAAACGTTTATTTTTATAAGAGATATAAAGACGGTACGATTTTTATCTGGGGAAAACCTGAGTAGTTGATGCGCTTGTTAAAGAAAATAAACACAACAGAAAGCCACATTAGCCGCAACTGCGAAGATGTGGATAGCAAACTATCATTTTTAGGCACACTGACTAGCCGAGGGGAGATAGCTTCACCAGAAAATCTGTCCACATGAAGCTGACTTGGATAAGACAATACCACAGTTACTGTCCAGTCTAATACAAGCATGGCTTAATCACGTGCTTATTCAATAAAGTTGGTGGTATTTGAACAGAAGATACAAATAAATAGAAGTGAAACTGTTGACTAGTGCTTTGGTGCAAAGTGGATATACACTACATTTTATTAATAAGTGTAAAATCGGTACAATATTGAGGTCGGTTAGTCATCATTCTGTCTGTGAGATAAATGTGTATATCACATTGCCATACCTGGGTGAATCGAATAATCTAATCCAAAAGAAAAGGCTCAAATCAGTTATTAGCACTACACATTACGCGGCCAAAGTCATTTAAGTGAGGAAAACGAAGCCCATTCTTCAACCCAAACCTAAAGAACATTTGAACGAGTGTATCACATCCCATTGTATCTATCGTTTTACATGTATATACATACATGCAAATTGGACACACCTGCATATGGAGGAGTAGTCGTGGCATGCAGTTAAGAACGGCTGAACATGTCCCTAAATGGCTTCAGAAACAAATGACCCCTAACAGTTTGGTAAGTGCAGGTGACAAACGTCCTTCCTCATCCATAGCGAAACATATTAGAAACTGGTCATATGATTAATATGATATGTATAGATATGGTCGAGGACGAATTCTGAGATTTATCGAATCCCTCGCTATCCACCAACTTAAACCCTCTCTCCAACTGAGGTCAGTTCATGATAAATGACAACCTGAAATCAACAAGTCCCCACAAACCTCAAAATTGAATTAGTCTAGTGCTCATTGGTGACTAGCTTCGAGGGGTGATTCCTGGAGTTCCAATGAAAAATCTTGACCAGAGGAGTCAACCAAGTCGTACATGAGAATAGGTACTCAACGACGGCATAAGTTGGAGGTTGCGCTGTATCGTGAACTGATAGAAGCAGGAAATATGGACCACTGGATCCCTGCTCAGTGGCTCAATGGTAGCATAGTGGTCCCGGGTTAGGTCCTTGGCGGGGTCATGGGTGTGCACTGCTGAGGGGCCTCACTAAAGGACAGGACGGCCTTCTAGTGCTCCCAGGTTTTCAGTGGTTCTCCAACTAATGTCAGTCTATGATGAGTACCAACTTGTATTCAAAAGTAATTTGTATTCATACAAAATGTACCCTGATAGTACTGAGTTCAACTCTTCATACTGTTGATGGCGGTGGTCTGGTCTTCCTTTTCTTTTTTTCCTTCTGCTCTTATTACGTTTCTTAATTATAATTCTGTTGACCTGATTAAACTCCCTCATTCTTTAGATGAATTATTTGACAAGTTCATGTGTGATCAAATTGTTCGAAATGTATAGCGCTTATAAATCACAAGTTTCAAATAATCCCCACTTTCTCATTACGCTGCTTAAATTTATGAAAGGGATTACTTATTTGTATTTGATATTTTCAAAGATGGTTTCGTAAGTTTCAAGTGACATATTTTTGAACTCGAATTATTGTTAGTTGGTGTTCATTTTGTAGTGATGAAAACTAGAGTTGTTTAATGAGAATAGTGGTTGGAAATCACAGACGTGCTGTTAAATTTCAGGTAAATATATATACTACTCGTGAGTATAATGGAACATAAGACATATTTTTGGAATGAAAATCCAAGTCTTTTGGAGTCTAGAAGTTTACCGTGACTTTTTCATTCTGTTGCTGTCTTCGTGTAAATTAGTGGCATCCGTTCATTATTCGTATAGTACGATCATTTTCTACCGGTATTCGCGGCCACTTATTGTGTCATATTCGATTTGAGTTGTCATACCGTTGTCCTAGGTTTTTCTTGTTTGTCTCATTTCTTCATATGATGTTTACGAGTGACGATTACTTCAAGCTTGTGAGCTTTCTGAAATCATCAAATAGGTCACAAGCCATTTGAAGCAGACGAAATCAAAACCGTGGTCGTAGGCTGCGAATTTGTAGTAGGATTGTAGAACAGAAACTGCATTGTAATATTATTTTTTTTAGTAATAGAATTAGTTGCTTACTGTTCAGTTAATATAGTAGCTATTGTTCTAATCATGAAGCCGAAAAGGAGCAGATCGTTGCGTTTGGTGAGGAATGTTTTAGAATTTAGGATAATGCGTCCTTTTAGATTTAAAGGATTATTCCAAACGTCAATTTGTCCCGTGTCTGGTGTCTTGAAGAAAATGAAACTTCCATTTAGCGTAGAAAAACAAGCATTTGTTAAATTGCTTAATAATTATATCGGTTGGGTTGACACCAGACGTAAGTATTAGCCCAAAGGAATCATTGTACAAATAGTCTTGTTTGAAATCTCTATCTCAATCGTACAATGGAACGAGAGAGGTGAATGTGAATAAAGGTTTCGTATATAATTTACTAAGGAATTCAGACACAGTCCATTCTGGCTAAGAACTGTTAACTGTATATGCTCGTGGCCTCAATAAATTTCCAGGTGTCCTGGGATTTAAACCCTAATGACTGCTTTTTGTGGGGCAGGATTGAATACATTGTGTATTGATATTGAACCATTTACTGAGCAAGGAAACGGGGAAAGTGTTTCAACTACACATTATCTTAACTGAACACTGAGATTTGACATATGAATGAAGATATAAAATCTGAGTTTCTACAGAACAGTAATGTGATGACTAACTAATGGACGCGCTGTAATCATTTTTTCATTAAGTTGAAGCATTTAAGACCTTAAAATTTCGCACTTTCTGGGCTGCTAGAAAAACTCAACCAACATTTTCATGCACAATGCGTTACTCTCCCCTGAATTACGTAGTTTTTAGCCAAATTACAATCGTGGTTAAAAATAAGTTGGAATATTGCATATTTTTGACATTCATCAAGATTAAATGATCAAAGATTTTGCTCTTTGGTTGGCACATGTTTGTTATTTCGTGTTTTATGCGATTGATCTAGGCTTTTTACATAAATTTTAATCCATAATTGCTATATTCCTGAAAACATATTCTATTCGAAAATGGAGAATATAATGAAGTTAATATTTCCATCCCTACCCACTAATTAATTATAGATACATTTTTCCCGTACTG